GAGGATGACAATGTGACTGGACAAGAATGTGTGTGTAGACAGTGAGTAATTGATTTGCAGTTAAAGAGTATTATTGAAGTTGAGCACGTTCGTTGTTATAGCGTTTGTTTTAGCGCGTATTGTTGAAATTAAGTGTATCGTAAAGTTATATTCGGAAAGAATAAACCAGTTTTATTAAGTAAGGACTTGTGTCGCTAAAGTTTCATCGGAACGAATTTACGGGAAGTCAATTAACAAACGGAGACGTAACAAATTGGTGTCAGAAGTGGGATAAAAAAAAATGGAAAACAGTTCTCTTGTTTTACTACTGTAAAGTGACAGTTAGCAGAATTTTTTGGTTGTGGTGATCATATTTTGTTGCTCTGAGAACTTTAGGTTACTTAGAAACCAAATAAATTATAGTAGTTTTGGAATATTCTATTCTAGTGAGTGATATATTTTTGTGTTTGGAAATGTTTATTTGAAATCTACATGAATAATTTTTTGTACAACTAAATTTGTGAGACTTAATGAGGTTTATGGAAGAATGCTTACTTGAGTGCAAGCTCAACCAAGTACATAGTGAGTACCGTAAATCTTTGTTTTTTATGTATCCTTTTTATCTATTGTTATCTATTTTTTAACACAAGTAGCTAAAATATAAAAATTAAACTTTTCAGCTTAGCCTAACAAAACAAAAAATTCCTAAAATTACACTAGTTTAAGCACCAGTGTGAAACATAATGCTCATATCAACTTCAGTAAAATAAAACATCAACAATTACTCTAGCTCAAGCATTGTTGTGCAACATGACACTTGGATCCTATAGTTTTACATTAGTTCTATGAGGAACAACTAATGGGCTCCCATTGCGATATATTGATTTTTATATGCAGTAATCCTATAGTGGTCTCAGTCAAAAGTAGAGTAGTAAAAACCATCATATTAAAAGAAAGTAGTTGTGAAAAGGTCAGAAGTTGAAAATGTTAAGATAATTAATTTGGTTCTTTGTGATTGAAAGTAAAGTTATTGCTGAGGACGAAAACTTGTATTATTCATTTTATTTCATAATTTAGGCCTGGCATGGCCAGGTGGTTAGGGTGCTTGACTCACAATCTGAGGGTCGCGGGTTTGAATTCCCGTCCCACCAAACATGCTCGCCCTTTCAGCCGTGGGAGTGTTATAATGTGATGGTTAATCCCACTACTCATTGGTAAAAAAGTAGCCCATGAGTTGGCGGTTGGTGGTGATGACTAGCTGCCTTCCTTCTAGTCTTACACTACTAAATTAGGGATGGCTAGTGCAGATAGCCCTCGTGTAGCTTTGCACGAAAATTCAAAACAAATAAACAAATTTCATAATTTTCAACTTTTTTTTTTCACTGTATATTGATGATTTGGGGTTAAGAAAATAAGAGGTAAAATATAAATTTTGCTAAAATACTTTTGATATTCATTTAGAAGGTTCTAGAGGTTATACAAATGAAGTATTTTTATTCTTAATGTGGAAACCACTTTTCACTCTGTTTGATTCAGTAAAGGCCTCATAAATTCCCAGACAAATTGTCAGTAAAACTTCCTTATTAAAAATCTGAATTTTTGTGTACAACAGAGTTGTAATGTTTACTAAAAGCTTGCTAAATTTTGTGAATATACACAAAGTAAATCCAGAATTGTCAACATAATGTATAGCTTCAAAAATGTGGGCTCTGTAAATTTGACCGAGCCTGTGAACAGAGGATTAAAAGTGCCAGAAACTCTTAATTTAGCATCACCTGCTTAACTCCTTTATTAAAGTTTTTTAAACCACTGTTGTGTGTTTTATATGCACAGTAGGAGAAAAATTGACTTACTTTTTGTTTGTTAATGGTGATTGTGTTATTTGACTGATGCAAGCATTTCATAGTACCTTTAATACAGACTTCATGATGGTCTCATGAAAGTATGAATCTTTGAAAGTCATGCTAGGTCCTCAAATAGAATAATTATTTAAAAGTGTAACTATGTGCTGGGGTTTGTTTCTGTTTATTAACTTAACAACAGATTAAAAAAAAGATAACTAATAGTTAAGCTTAAAGGGTCGTGGAAAATTGCTTAGTGGTCCAGGAAATCTCCTGAAATTTTGTCACTCCAGAACTGTGGTAAATCTATTCATATTATTAATTTTAACAAGGTTTTGGATTTCATTGTTCTTTGAAGGAAATAAGGAGTTAAAAATCAATAGACAAATGTATATTTCAGCTTGTCAAACATAGCAATCTTGTAGTGTTAGGTTTATTTTTCAATTCTGTCTTTTTATAGTCTCAACTTCAGTGGTGATTTCTTTATTCCGGTGCTTCCTGAAGGCAAGCACCTTACCATAAATATTTTAACAACTTGGGGTGATAAACATTATGTTGGACTGAATGGCATTGAAGTATTCACTCACACTGGAGAGCCAGCTCCAGTGGAAAAGGTAAGAATATGGGAAAGAATGACCAAATGTTTGTTCAAACACTAAAGCCAATGTGTATTTTATTTTTTTTAAATATCAATCTTAAGATTGTGGTTGACAAACTAATATAATACACGTGTTTCAGAGTTTCTGGTGTGTGTAATCTCCCTCATTTTCTTCTGTTATATTGTTGTTCCAGAACTGGATTGTTGTAGTAATAATATGATCCAAAGATGAACATACAGCTGTTTTGGAATATATCAAACCTCTCTTATTATATAGTTCCAAAGCCATATAGGTTAGACTATGCTGTTAAATGATGGCTGTTATTAACACTTTAAAATATCCTAAGCATATTCTGTCAACTTTATATCAAGGTCACAGTATGTAGAAGTTAAACCCAATGACGAATAATTTTCTAACCTGCATTTGAAGTAAAAAAAAAAAGTTTTTTTTAATAAATAATTTCATGCATGCAAAAAAAGGAAAAATAGATATAAACTAGTCTTTTGTTTATCTTATGAATTTTGCTGGTACTTATTGCAGTTTTTATATTTTGAGCCAACAGTAAGTAGGCTAGAAATTTGCATGAAAATTACTAATATACAAAATTAATTTGATAGAAATTATTATGCAGTTTTATTTTTGTGTAATGTAATAGTTTTATGTTCAAAGGAACACTAGTTAGACCAGTGCACCACTATCACAACAGTTTTGACTGTGTGTGTATTTGAATATAGGTATTTTCATTACATCAAATACTTACAGATCTGGGGAGATCCAGCGGACATAAATGTTCTTCCCGAGTACAGTCACGACCCAAGAGTTGTATCCAATTTGATTGATGGAGTGTATCGCACCAAAGACGACATGCACTTGTGGTTAACTCCTTTCACACCTGGCAACAGTCATTATATTTTCTTGAAATTCCTCCATCCAGTCAGAGTGGCAATGATTCGGATCTGGGTGGGTGGTTTTATTATAAAAAAAAGAGGGGAGGGTGAGAGAGAAATTTGTTGAACTTGTGTCTGTGTCTTTCATTCATTATAATAATGTTTATTGTATACATTTCTATGTAGCTAATAGTTAATTATACAATGTCAGATGACTTTTATTTGATTGCAGTTATCATATAATATATGTAGCATACCAAGTGTTTATGAATGTAAAAATAATTGGACAATAATATATAAACCAGTACATTTGTAGTTTATATTTTTTATTTTGTGGATCTGATTTCCAAGCTCAAAAACAATAAAATGTGGTGTTTTTGTTCTAATGATATTCAAATGTTGTTCTAGGTCTTTAATTTTGTTTTCTCATATGAAGGTATTTGTGAATAGAATTCTTTTTTAATTGAAACTTTCTTGATTTTGGTTCTTGTATGACTGATTCATTTTCAGGCCTGTGAGCATCTTTCAGGTACCAACTGCACATCTCATGATGCAATGCCCCCCAGTGTCTGTGGACTTACAATGCTAGAAACCGGGTTTTGATACCCATTTTGGGCAGAGCACAGATAGCCCATTGTGTAGCTTTGTGCTGAACTTCAAACAAACAAACAAACTCAAGATGCAGTGTCAAAGTTTAAAAAATAATAATTATTCTAACTTTGTGTTAACAATTTTTTACCCGAAAATATTTCAGAATTTGTATTTTTGTCATTTTGTTACATTGCAAAAAAAAGAAAAGAAAAAAAGGTTCAAACCTACAATTCTGCACAATTCCAAGATTATTTGCCTTAAACAAATTGATTTTTAGAATATTTTTTCCCATCCCACAACAGAACTTTGTATTTGCTAAGAAACTGATATTCCTTGAGAATATAATTATCAGTTTCCTTTTTCTCCTGATTTTTCTTCTCTTTCACCAAACTACTGATGAAGCATACTAAAAATATCTATAGGCAGAGCTTAAGCACAAAAAGAAAAAAATCGTATGAGAAGTAATTTATGATTTCACAAAAAGTGATCAGACCTAGCTCAAGCAGAGAAGAACAGTGGATTGTAGTTGGAAGTTTAGAAGGCTTAGGAACTATAGATCTTGGAATTTTTTTATCGTTTCTTTTGATGTTCTTTTCATTCCTGAAAATGTTTTTGTCTTAAATTATATTTGTTTGAAAGTTATCATACATTTCTTCGATGACAAAACATTGGTAATGGTAAGCTTTATAAAGTTAGGGAGCGTGATAATGACAGCAAATTATTTATTACAGTAACTCAAATCATTATTTATGGAATATAATTTTAATTTTATCGATTCAAACAATGCAAATAAATAAAATAGCTCATAATTTATTGAAATAAAAGTATATTTCTTACATATAAATAAGTTTAGACCAAAAATATTGTTACCTAGCCTGACCTGATGACATTTTGAAATATAAAATCTTAGATCATCAATAAATTTTTGTCACTTTATATGGTGTTTTATATGATTTATAACCAGAAGTGATAAATACTGCAGTTGGCAAAATGAATTATTAGTTGAAATCGACTGGTTATAAGAAGTGGAACTTCCTTATAAACGTAAAGAAATATTGAAATTCTAAGGCTAAAGGAATAATTTTTGATGTTTTTTTCAAAATGTTTCACAACATAAAAAAGATAGAAAAGTAAATCAAATTATATGAATTTTTAAAATTAAAACTAACTATTGTTTAGTAAGTTTGTACTAAATTTCATGGAATTTGGTTAAGTATTTGCACTGTGAGAAGGAAAAAATCAAGAGATATCAGCAATACTCCCTATATCTGGAGTGAGATAATCTGTAATCTCTTTCATCAAGTTCTTATTATCTTAACCTTCAGTGTCACAGAAATCTTGGATGAGATTTATAATCACAGTAGCTTCTATGTTAGTATAATCAGCTGCATTTTGTTTATTTTTTAAAGACGTAATGCACTGAATGTAATATTTCACCAACTATTTGTACAATTATGTTTTTAAACAGAACTACAACAAGTCCCGTATTCATTCTTTCCGAGGTGCTAGATTAGTGGACATGACCTTGGATGATAAACTGATTTTTAGGGGTGAGATTAATCAGGCCTGTGGCGGTATTCAAGGTGGAACTGAAGCATTTGGTGATGTATGTTTAAAGTACTTTTTAACTTTTTATTAAACTTTTAAGTGTATTTAAAAGTTATGGTTTAAACAGCAAAAGCTAGTGAGGTAGTAGAAACTAATAGACCTCAGATTTATAATAAAATTCATATAAAATTGTTGATGTTAAGAGTAATGTAGAAGAACAAAAATATATCTTATGTTACATGATTTTTATCATAAATTTAATCCTGTCAGTTCTAATGCTTCTCCAGCTTTTGGGGTTTAAATTATTACTTCTAAAAGTATGATACTGCATATGTGAATAGTAGGGATGCACGGGTACCTGGCCAGATAATCGGCTCCAGTTGGGTATTGGGCCACCCGGTAATACTCGGCTCCGGCCAAGTTTCGAAGTTAGGCATCTAAGCCCTAATCTTTGTGGCAACTAATGCGGTACTGAAGGTAACAGTCAACAATTGGTTTAGTTATAAAAAAAACGTGTTCCGAGCAACAAAAACTGACCGCCCACTGAAAGTCAGGGATTCAGAGAACAATAGGGGTTAATGACCAGGCATGGCTTGAGAAGTGGATTTCTGGGGAAGGTGGGGGTTTTGGGAACAACAGGGGTTAGGGTTTGAGAAGTTGGGGCTAGGCACTGAAAAAGTTGAAAGTAAAACTTGAATATTCTGTTGGTGATTATTCAGTTAAATGTAATAAACAACAATTTTGTTTTTGTTCCTCATTTTTGTGTATGTTGTTTTTTTTTTTAGGGGGAAGGGGACAATCTGGTCCTGGTTGATGCCTGGCACAGGCTGAAGCTTAGTGACCAGGTACCCGGACACAGTATTCGGCCAGATTTTATTACCCGTGCATCCCTAAACTTAACAGATAACAATAAAACATAGAAATAAGTCTACTCTTTTCTATTGTGTATTACAGTTACTAATAAGATGACTAACAGTAAAACTATATTTTCATTCAATTTTCCACCTTCACAATGATACAAGTGTAAATTAGTTTCATACAATGTATAATTT